GAAAATTGTGAACTCAACTTCATGTGTGTCAGTGCAGGAGAGGGTTAAAATTGGAGTGATGTCACAGAAAAAATGATGAATGACATTGGAATTGCAGAAATGCAGGGTGTAAATGCCCAGCACAGTAATACAGGAATCAAAAAAGCCAATCAAGTAGGATACAGCGATGAGAGATCGGCAGAGTGACATGGACATAATGACTGGGTATTGTAGAGGTTTGCAGATAGCTACATAGCGATCATAGGCCATTGCAGAGAGAACAAAACATTCTGTGGCACCCAAAAGGACAAAAAAATACATTTGAGCAAAACAGCCTACAAATGAAATATGCTTGGTGACAAATATTAGGTTTTCCAAGGTTTTAGGGGTAATGACTGATGAGTAGCTGAGATCAAGGAATGACAGGTGACTGAGGAAGAAATACATGGGCGTGTGCAGCTGGTGGTCCAGGCGGATGATGAGGATCATCCCTGTGTTCCCCAGCACAGTAACCAGGTAGATCAGCAGAAATAGATGAAAGAGAACCAGCCGGGCCTCTTCAGAGTCTGTGAGTCCCAAAAGGATGAAGTCAGGCACATTGGTGTTGTTCTTTCTACCCATAGTTTATAACTTCCTTGAACTGCAGAAGAAAGATGGTATTCAGCATTGGATCTATAATTCATGTTTTGCTTGTTTTCTCCTTCTATAAATTGATAAAAAAGAGTGGATTGTACAGACCAAATCTAATTTTATTGCCACTTTTAAATGGGTATTAATGGTATTGCATACTTTGTAATAAAATGGAGCAACTATTATGCAATAAGAATGAAACTACCAATGCCCCCAATTCTTCACTTTATTAGCACCTTTAAATCACAGGAAATATCTTAGCATAGTTTTACTGTCATATGAACTTTTAGATAATACACTGGGATTATCGTTTAATAAATTTTTCCAAATTAATTTTAATTAAATGATTCCACCTTGTGACCAATATTACCAAGCATCCTTACAATACTATTTTCTGGGTTATCATTACATTCAACATCCTGATGCAAAGTGTATGTGGGTAGTAAACAATGACAGAAACTCATCCCTTCCTGCTTTTGTTTTGGATGTCCTTTATTATCTACAGTAGTTTTGCATTGGGCTCCTAATTACAGTCAGCAGTTTGAAACGACCTGTCACTCTGGGGGAGAAAGCCTATGTTTTCTATTCCTGTAACATTTCAGAGCCTCCCAGAGGCAGTGCTATCTGGTCCGATAGGGCTGCAGTGAGTGGGAAACTACTGACAGATTAGATACATCAACCATAGGATTTTTATTACAATGTGTATCACAAAATATGTATGTGAAATACAGAATATGTATTTCAACTAGACATTTTGAGTCCTTAAATTTTTATTAAGGAATTCCTTATGAATTTGATTTATTTTCCTTTTTAAAAAATAAACATGAGCATAGTTTATATACTCTTGATTCTATCAACTCTCTATATATTGTCTGTACAAATTCTGGCTCTAACAAGGGCAAGATCTAGATTTATACACACATAGATACACACACATATACATATGGTGAGAGAGAAGAAAGCACATATACACATATTTTTATGGTGTCCCAATAGTATCAGCTCTGACTTTAGCCAAGTGGAAATGTACTGCTGTCAGTTGACTCAGCCCTATACATACTCCTGAGCGTCTTT